ACTTTACATCTTGCTTATTATCAATCTTAATTTGTTGTTAATAAAAACTGTTCCATTCTCTTTAGTTAGCTCTTAACTCATCATGGTCTAGGTTAACCGCTACTGACGAAATGGGAGTATCCGCTACATTTTGAACCATTCCATCTGCTGAGTATAAACGATTCAGGAAAATCACGGATATAAAGACTCTCCAAGACTTGTTTATTATTAGTTTTGAAAAACATTTACTTCAGTATAAATGCTGTTGCCCATACGAACCGACAAGTGTTTCACAGGGACCTGTTGCTTCGGTTTCCATTAGACCTTTATTTTATGTACATTGCTATGACAGTCAAAAAAGAGGATCATTAAGCTGTCCTTAGTCGACTATCAAGTTTAACTTTCTGCTGGTGCGTCGTATTTGAGGTCCAATAGCCCCATGCTTAACGAAGTGAGTGCTTGCATTTGGGGAGTTTCAGTCGTAAAATTGTTTGGGACCGGGACAATGCTTTCGCTCGTGGTAACTGCAATTTCTTCGTTGGTGCGCTTTGGAACGCAAAAGGACGCCAGTGTGTTATCCAGATGCATGGGACTCGAAGAAATCACTTACACTCAAACAAAATTTATCACAACCACAAATAAGTAGAAAAGCCAGGTGGTGTCAATGCGATTTGAGTGTGACCTCTGTTCTGTTTAGTCAGTGACCTAAGCGCTACAAGAACCTAAATAAATACCCATGTTCGAATATATATATATATATATTACAAAGTATAAAATTTATCGATCCCGGGGTTCGTGCAACTGATGACCGCGCAGCTTATAAGTCGTCCATAATGCAACTTCAGCTGTCTGATGCTGGGGATTATTAACGAGGTCATTCGATGATCTGTGTGATTTATTCTTATTATTCTGATGGCATGAAATGTTATTTAACTGATGAGATTTATCTATTCCTATTCGACGTCTTAAAAAATTGCTTCTCATCGAGAAAATCGTCGATTTCATCGTAGGAATATGATTGAATAGGCATGTGGCGATCTGAATTTTTCAAATGACACACGTATCCAAAGATTTTGGAACATAATTATACAAGTAATGTGATGGAGGATATCAATTCGATGGGGGGGGGAGGTAATACCATTCAGACACCTTTTTGTATAGCAATGATCGTTCCGGATTGAGGAACCAATCTCCATCCCATTGCCATCCTTCCGGTAACCTGAATGAATCTTTTTGCAGTTCTTCTCGGCCAGTGTTGTCCGACCAAGCCGGTCTGGTCAGCGGGGGACGAGTGGTCACCCATTTGCCCATAATGGATGCTTGATTTTCATACTGCCGTTAAACAGAATATGCAAAAATAGGAAAATAAATCAATCTGTGGCATTCTGATTGCAGTAGTAAGCTGTAAATTTATGCACTCTGGTAGTTAAAAGCAAACGGTAAGAACTTTTGTTTCCGGAAAACGTCAATAATTTGTGATTCTATGGCTATTTATTTAGATGCGACTTGAATAAAACGAATCATTTGCAGATGTTCATCATTCACACTAGTAGAGTTTGTGAGTTCAGCTACGCATTACTTGTTAGTAGTGACATAAGTCATTGATAGTAACTAACTCTCTGTTATCTTCACACACAATCCTTATCACAAAGGCTTATCTCATTCTGCTACGCACAGCTAGCTGAAGCAAAAATTAAGAATAAAATTCGGTCGAAATGTTCAATTGGAAAACAATATGGAAAACATGGTTTGATCAGTGGCTTTTGATGGGAAGCATCAATGGTCTTCTGTAACTCCCTTCATTGTCGAGGCCACTTAAGAACTATCTGACTTTAGCTGAAAATGACATTTGATCACACTGAATTGGTTATTCTGGCCAGATTCAGTTTGAACTGGTTGACCCGGGTTTCCACGCAATGGGTCCGGATTCCAAGCAACTAGATGGATCGGTGTGCGTATCCTGCGGTTAGCTTTAACGCAGGCAAAAGAAGAATGTTTCATGTATCGCCGTTTGAATAACCTGTAGATCCCGACAGTAGATTAAATCTGACGGGAGGTAGGTGAACAGACTAGTCTCATAAATCCATCAGTAATTTGAATGCACCTGTTGCTTTCAAAGACCACTAATTGTATTCTTTCAGGCTACATGTAACAAAATGACACATTCGCAAGTTCCTGGGTAGGTTAGTTATTAATTTAGGGGTTTACGCCAATCAATATAGGCTAGAAGATCGTGAATAGATTGAGAAGAGTCTTCGGAAGGGAAAATTCAACCGAAACCGCGATGCCTATTCATTTGAGCTGATATAGTCGCAGTTCACTTTTCCAAGTTAGTTGAAATGAACATACACAGAGTACCCGTGTGTGCACACATATCAAGGGTTAGTAATTGGGTAGCGATGAATTATATTATGACAGAATTCCACATTCGGGTTATCTTTGCTCATGTTAGAGGGGCTAGATATACAAAACCGAAGGGGTGATTCGGTTTGATCCTATGTATTTGGACGGCGATTCCAGAATAAAGTCCCTCATGCAAGGAACATCGTTTTGATACAAACAGTTAAATAATGTAAACCAAAACATTGAAACTGTTCGAACCTAAAAATAATTACAAATGATTATGCATTCAAACCCATCTCAGTTGTTACAGTGAGACCTTAAACCCTATAAAAATGCTCACAAGGCGGTAATTTTTGTCATAAGGCTGATAGCTATGGAAAGTGAAAACGTATTCTGTCCAAGGACAAAGCAGGATAAGTATCAGTAAGTCACACGTGGACAGGAAAACTTCCTTATCAGACGAATATCTGCAAGCAACATGCATAGCTTAAGTGTAGGCATTTTTAATCAGGTGGATACTCCTCGATCTACCTCTATGACCGTCATAAGAATGACATTGAAAATAGAGACCCAACTGTCTGCGAACCAATACACCGGGTAAATGAACAGCTTTTCTGCACGCAATGAAACAGAATGCAGTTAAACAATTTTATTGTTCCTTGTTGCTCCCACCTGAGGGAGCTTGGGATTGGCCGAATAACGAAAGTAAATTGTACCGCACCCAAAAGAACTGAGTGCTATCATAAAAATGTATTCTCTTTCTGATCACAACTTACCGTTTCGGCCACCACTTGAACTTTCGCTTCGGTAAAGATTTCTCTCCAATTCGATTGTTCTTTCTCTAATCCGAGCCAAAAAATAACGCGTATTTGGGCTGGAATTTTCCAAAATCCATTCTCATCGTCTGTGCTCAATCGAGGTTTCTGCAAGCCACGAGAAAATTTGTGGATGATCTCGTTTAAAATCACTTTTTACTTGAGATTAATTGGTCGTAAAAGCTAAAGGTTATTTTATTGAGCTGGGGAATTATTATTGATATGCCTAAATAAAAAACGCTTAAACGAGTGATGTTCAGATATTATGAGCGAATCAAGGTATATATATATATATATATGTATTTATATGTATAATAAGTAGTATGTGAATGACTGGACAAAATTTCCCTGGAAGCACCCGACCGGTTTCGCGGTTCTTGCCGCTCGTCAGGCACGCGTATCCGGTAATCTTATGTCAGTTCATTCATATAATTGTACCCAGGAAGTGTATTTTCGTCAATATAACCTTGTTTGCAACGCCGAGTGACCATTGGATAGACAGCCCTTTCAGAGCCAGTCCAAAGAAGAATCAATGCTATGAATCGTAAGTGGGTTAGATGCTACTAACCGCAACAAACGTGACCTGATAGTCTTGGTAGAGTATTTGATAATAAGTGGTATGTGAATGACTGGACAAATTTCCCTGGATGCACACGACCCAGCGTGCCAGGAGCCTCTGAACAATCGAATGGGCTGATCCAAACCGGGTATTGTAAATATATTTAATTTTATGTTACTCATTAGTAGTGTGAACAGGAACTCATAAAAAGCGATGCTCGAGCAACCTCAATCAGCGGTAGCAATTGCACTGCTAAACATATTCCCATGGGCACAGAAAAAAACTGGTCCCAGTACTCCAGCTACCCTGACCTTCAGTTGACATAGAAAATGTTGTTGCTGTTTCAGTAGTATATATAACTTTGGTGACTTGTCTAAAGACAAATGGATTTTTTTAAGTTTCAGGATAACTTTTTCTGTCGTCTTTTCTACCGTGTACACTCTTGGCTGAAGTATATGCGATATGCCTACAGAAGTTATAATCACAATTAAAATTACAGTTACCAAAACGTTATAACTGGTGGGCGCATTCCGTGTGTCTTGTTTGGTTGAGAATCATGTCGGTCGATTCTCTATCAGAATGAGAAGGTCAGATATTGCAAGATGTAAAAGGGGAACGACCAAAAAGGAGTAATAATTCGACGGTTGTTCAATAAAGATGAATGGTAGTGACTTTTTCAGTAAGTTTCCTAATTTCCTACGTGAAAACCTATTCAGTGCAGTTTACCGTTTCGGATTACTATTTCATTAGCACGCATGCCTTATTATTCAGCACTTTGTGTAAGTAAGCATTCATGCAGTATTTACATAGTACAATTAAAACAATGTGCAATAGCTAGCGGATGATACGAGATGATGCTTATTTACTTAATGCGATTGTGATTCACTGACGTATCAAACAGGAACAAATTAGTTCACCTTTTACTCAAACCCATTGACTGGAATCAATAAATGAAACCCGGGTTTCGATTGCGATACAAGGCTGCGATTCCCTCAGAACCAGAATTATTCAACAGAATTGTGTTTCTCGCGTTCAAAGGGTGTCACATACAGGCGAGTCATACTGTTGCCGGTTATCACAGCTTCTCTTTAGGTGTACTGTCAAGATTTGTGAATATGCGTGTTGACATAAATCGAATATAATTCTTCTTGACTGAAGCCTTCTCTCATACATTATTCTATGGTGTCTCTAAACAAAGGATTTCATTAGTGAAATCCGCAACAAAATTTCAATGAACGTTTTCGGGGTAGGATCTAATTTTGTGATCCCATACGGCATGGAAAGACCAAATGGCCACTTTAATCCCTTTAGTGCTTTCTTTCAAGCGAGGTTTGTAGTTACAGTTGTTCCGTACCATGGCTGATGGTACTATGAACCAAGATATTGCGTTATACTATAGCATACTATGACATAAGTGGTCATTTTCTCCGACTAATTATTAATTAGCTAACAAATTGGAGACGCTTTATAACTTTTTCAAACCCGTTACTGGCATTGGTGGTGCAATCGTGACAGATCAAGTTCAGTGAGCCCGCATGTGTCGTACACAGTTGTGTAACTACAACACGGAGATGTGTGTTTGTGTGTATGTGTATGTGTGTATGAGAGGAGAAGGCCTTTAGAATTGACAGGATTTTTTTACTTCTCGCTCCCGGATTCAGTTTTAGGTCGTCAGTTTGGGTCCCGTTACACAATAAGTTTCTCACACGTGCTTTTTCAAGGCCTAGTTGATGATAAATTAAACACACTCGAAACCTACAAAAACCCGGAAACCGATAAATCATGTATGGAATTTTTTCTTAAAAGTCAGTCGATTGCTAAGGGTGGAGTTGAAGTGGAGGAATCAATAACAGATAGCTGTATCATGGGAATGAACGTACGATGCAGGGTATTGTGATTCGGAGTCAAGATGACATCAACTCGGCTGTATGGTTATGTAAAGATTGACAGTAGTTATCATATAAATAATTGACAAATGAACTCTCCAAATATATTTTATTGTACCATCTTCGTCCGACGAACATTCACCTTGTGCTACTCCCTAGTCATTACTGATGCATATTTCTTTCCCATTATTTACATATTAGAATATAAGTTACCTACTGTTGTTATTAAATGTTATTCACTTTAACTCCTTCGCAGTCATCCGCAGGCTTGCTAAACCTGATATTCGGAAAAATAGCAAAAATCCTATTCTGCATACGGTTATAAATGACCGTATAGTATCGAAACGATTTGGATACTGGGCATCCTTCACGTGTGTCTATTGCACCACATCCCTACCCCACCCCCTCGCCCCCACACAATCTCCCCGCTGACTACAAAAAGCTATGGGGTACTTAAAAGCCATCACACTGATCCATATATTGGATGTTCGAACCTCACTACGAGTATACGGCTTCTCTAATAAATCCTATCCTCTGAAAAATGTATATGGTTTAAGTTAAATACAGATCTGCTTGAATCAAAAAAACCAACTATGAGCATTGTGTTGAACCACATTTCACCGATTGGTTGGAGAAACTAACGAATTGGAGCTAAATTAAAAATAAGAATGTTTACTCGTGGAATCATGTGTGACCTGGTTCATGTGTCTGTTTCCAACCGCTCAAACTATACAACTGTAGGGTTACATGAATAAGTATTGTCAACAATAATTGAACTGCAAAATCGGAATTTAAGGCTACTGAGTGGCTGAGACCATCAACACAATCTATGTTTGGAACTTCCTTCGATCTCATCCCCACTCTCTTGTATACATGGGGGTCACTGATTTGGGCATTGGAAAGAAGATCGACAGGAACAAGAGATGGAAGAGAAACGGAGCTCTTGACCAAACAGAGGGCGGAGAGGGGCACAAAAAGAAACATTCAACTTTCTCGTCAATGGGTAAATTGAAACGAACAATATCAGAGCGGTATTGACACCGGAATGGGTTACCGCGGCCATGTTTTTCTTGACAGGTAATGTATGACTAAATGTCTAGTCACATCCTTAAGGAATCGCTACCTGACATGTAATCATGATATGGTACGAATGGTCATCAGTGCTGCTCAATAATGAAAAGAGTATGTAAGGATAAGGCTTATTCTCGATAAGATGTGTACAGTAATTTTAAAATGTAAGTATTTTTCATTCAGGCGTCTCATTGTGCAACCGCTGTTTTATTTTATACAGAGATAACTGAATGTGGTTTATCGAATGACTGCGATATGAAGTTTTAGGTTACTGGTATTTCGTCTAGGAAGTCTTTGTGTGCCAACCATTTCATTTCGATAGCGATAGGGTTTTTATTCCTCAGCCCTGGTGGACAAAATAGAAGCAACGACAATTTCAATTTTTCCAAGCGTGGTTACCGTGAAACTTTGCACTCTTTCGTTCAAACGATGGGTTGGTTTTATTGAATCTTGTTACCCCTCTTGCACTGATTAATCGTTTAAGGTTGGGCCTGATTGAAAAAAGTAAACGGGAATTTCAAGTGATAAGCAGTATATCCGATTCAAAGTTGCCTCTTGAATACACATCTTTTACGGTACCCCGAAACTGAAACTAGGGAGCTTGCTACTAATCAGCGCTTTCCGCGTGCATGAAGAGCGTGGGAAAATTCCACCAGGAATGGTTATGGCTGAAATCTTCATGGGAAACTTGAAGAATACGAAACTACGGCATTGTATGAGAGAAGGCACACCTCCACGGACCTTAAGTGGATGATACATTTGTCATAAGGAATGACAGTGCACAAGCACAAGTAATGCTTGGAAAATGCAATCAGCCACATCACAATATTAAATTTACGGTGGAACACAAATCTGAATCTTCCTTCTACCTCCTAAACGCTCAACTGAGGAAAAAAGAGGACAGATCTCTCATTAAATATGTACTTCACAAGCCGATTTTGACGGGATAGTGACTTAATTTTAGAATTTTAGGATCAGTGCAGTACAAACACTCGTTGTTGCATGTTTTTTTCTCTAGAGTCCGGATAATGTGTTTCATTTATGCTATGATAATCCAAAAACGTACATGACACCGTTTTTTGTCTTGTAAAGTGGGATTGGGTGATGTCTCAGCGGAAGTGAGATTAACGAAACTGTAATATTTTGCGATGTGGAGTATTTTGCGCGGATTTTGGGGTTGGTGTATCCTCCTGGTGCTTCCTCGAAGTTTCACTGATAATGGTGCCCATCCTGGCTACAAGACGTCTGCAAGCAATACTTTCAGCTCGAAGAACACACCAACATCAAGATTCTACTGCTTCCTATCTCGCTAGATTGCTTACAAGGTGGCAGTGGGTTTCTGCTAAATTTCTGATGCGGTTTTGAATGTCAAGTATTATTTCCTACTTTTCGATGTGGTAATGTGTAAATTTAGGCTGAAATGAGGATATTTTACCAATGCAAACTTCATAGAAATTGAAATATAAAACACAAATACAATAGTTATTTGGGTATTGATGAATGGTATTTCTATAGCAACTCAATGGCAGAATATTTCAATTATTTTCTGATTGAATGTCGATTCCGTATTCACCATCTAAAGAATAGCATTTTTGGAATTCGTTTTATTGATTGTGGATTAGAAACCTTTAGTGTCCCTGTCATTCTGGTCCTAACAGTGTAATTACGCNAATTACGCGCACAATAAAAACCACATTTCGTTAACAGTTGTCAGATAGCAGATCTGACAATCTTTGTCACAATGTCTCTGCTCAAATTCATGTTTTGAGCAATTTGTAAAACGGGACATTTCCCCCCATGTGTTTTTGGAATTCAAATTCATCGTTAGCTGTTAAATCACTCCATATGGGCTTCTGAAAACAGAGATCACCTCTACGCTCTACACGAAGTAGTGACGATTCCTCCTATCCGAGCTGTAAATCGATCAATTAATGACTCGAGTCGGCCAATCACTTATCGATTCATTATATTGATATGCAAAGAGATCTGATCTTGAGTCGAACTGAAATTCAACCTTTCTTCCTCATGTCAGTCCGAGGAATTTCATTGTCACGCATCAACCGATTTGCATGA